GCCTCACAGAGCTCTCTGGAAATATCCCATTGCTCCTTTGTCCATACGCCCAGCACATCCTCCTCTGCTTCAGACTTAGAGAACTGAAGCCATTGCTTCACGTTTCCCTGATCTCCTCCAGCTCCAAGAGACACTCCCGAGGTTAGACAGCAATACGAGGTGGATTTAGGGAACCTCCTGGACTTAGGAGCCCAGGTCTTGTTGTGAGGCCAAGGGCATCAGAAGCCCACTCCCCCAATGGCTGTCTCTAGGACACCAGGGCTCGAGTCCCTCCACCGGCACATGGCTGTCCTCCTGCACCAGATACCAGGATGACTTCTCAAGTGTCCAACTCTTCCAAATTGCTCAGCCTCTCACCTGGCCCAAGATACGAATAGCAGTTCCAGTTAGAAAGATAAAATTAAAAATAAAGAAATGCCCAGCAATCTCTGGTGGCCAAACCAGCAGGACCCTGCACCTCTTCCTTTCCCATCCCACCTCAAGTCCAGCATTCCCTTTTCAACTTTTCTGCTGGGCTCCTTATTTGCCTGAGGAAGATGTAATTCACACCCTCGCAGCTCCTCTGTGGTGATTTAACTTTTTTTGAACAAAAAGCAATTATCCCCACATCAACAGGACCCTCACGAGGATGTTAATGAGTCGGTTCAGCCCCTGTGGCTAGGCCTTGGCTGAAGCAAGAGGAGGCCTCCAGTATCCAAAGCCCTGCATCTGACTGCAAAATAAAAATAAAATAAACTGTAAAACTTCAGTCCTCACCATTCCCCATCCCAATGCCTCTACCTGAGGTGCAGGATTTGGCACCAACAGGAAGGGGGCTGACACAAAATGTGTTTCTGGCAGAGGGGCACAACTCATGCGTGGAGGCCTGAGAAAGGAAATAAACATAAACAGAGCTGGGCACAGACACCAAAACCTCAAGGCAACCCAAGGATAAGTTGGTTGGGTTTGAGTAACCAAAACCTGGGTGCCTGGAACATCAGCAGTGTGGTTTTGAGAGGAGCAGGACTCCTTAATGGGAGAAAGCAGCAGTGCAATACTAAACAATTCAAGTTGTGACAAAGCCCCCACCTCAAATGCAAGGAAATGGCCTAAAAGCGAGGATTTCTGCAGCCTCTTGCCTATTCCCAGCAACCACCTTGCCTCGCTGCAACATAAATTATAGCTTAATCAGCTCTGAATACCAGCGATGCTGCCTGGATGCCTCCCCAGATATTAAACGCTTCTTTCACTGCGCTAACAAGCACATACCTGAGGCCTTCCTAGTCCCTAATTACTCGGCATAGTTATTTCCGAATCAAAATATGTAAGTAAATAAATAAAAAAAACCTTAATACTTTTTCCCCCTCTACTTGGCAAAGCCATTGAAAGGAATCCGCCTGCTTATTAACGAATACAAGCAATTTACAATTGTCATCGAAACCATTCTCTTGGAAGGACGGAGTTTGCCATCGCCTCCCACTCACCCCAAAGACATGCAGAGGTGCCGGAGGGAGCATCCCCCCAAGAAGCATCCCCGAATCCAGCCCTGCTCCCTCCCTTCGGGCTGAAGCTCAAAGCAGCAGTCCTGAACCAATATGATCACAGAACCATCTAGGTTGGAAAAGACCTTCAAAACCATCAAATCTAACCATCAAGCAGACCTTCCAAGTCTTGCTGCTCAAGCACATCCCTCAGTGCCACATCTGCACGTTGTGTCCCCCACCTCCAGGGATGGGGACTCCACCCCTTCCCCAAGAAGCCCATCCCAATGCTTGGCCACCCCCTCCACGAAGGAATTCTTCCCCATACCCAATCCAAACCTCCCCCGATCCTGCTGGAGTGGTGCTGGGGTTCGGGCCCCTTCCCTTTGAACTGCCATCTCCTCCGGCCCAGCAGCAACTCATTGCAGGCAGGCCGTGGTAACAGCAATTAGGTCACACCGGGCTGCAGGTTTAGCGGGCAAAACTATAATTATTTAGAAACATTGAGTTTAAATGCCAAAGAGTCTTAATGGAACTGAGCTAATTAACCAATTTCGACCGAATAACTGATGAGTTAAAAAGAAAAATAAAATCAATGATCATAGACAACAGCTTTTTTTTTTTTTAACTGGTTGTTTTCTCACAACAACTCTTAGTTGCACAAAAGCAGACCAACAATCCCTGCTAACCAAATATTATTGTAATTAAATATTTAACAGGAAGGCTCTTCAATTATTCAGAGGAGGGACGACGCTCGCTATAAGCGGGCTGGGTTTCTCCCTCTGGACCTGGCCGGGGATGCTCACAGGGCACGGCTGCCACCCGTCCTGCGGAGCAGGGACCACGCTCTGACTGCCAGGCCAGCAGGTGCCAAGTTTTGCGAGGTTTTCTGGGGTCAGTGGTATTCCCCCAGCAAAGGGCTGGGGAGGAAAAGCAGACGCACACACACACACCCCAACACACATGGTTATAATTCCCTAAGCGGCATTACTGTAGGAAATTACAGTTCAGCTTTTTCAGCAAAGGGTTCAGGGATATTTAGATTCACTATGAGGAAACTGCAGAATATTTCAGGCCATTTATCACAGCTCTCTGAGTCCCAGCTTCCACTGAAATGAAACAATAATAAATATTGAGCAGAGCGAGTTAATCTCCGCTGAACGCACTTTAATAATTCAAAAGTTACGAGAAATAAATAGATAAAGCGCAGGGCTTTTGGCTTTTACAAATGCACATCCCATTTTTCTCACGATTTCTCACCGTGTGACTTGCTGGAAAAACACCCGGTGACAGAAAACACCCCAAAAAACACGCCATGGCTGGCAGCCACAGCTCCACAGGCACCCCAGCTCCTACAGCACCAGGTCCCTGTATCAGCCCCGCTGCACAGGCTCTGGGTTTCCAGCGCCGCAGCCCAGAACGTGCCACTCCACACCACTGCCAGCGAACATCCCAGCTTAACATTTTCCTTGCGCAAGTATTCATGCGTGTAAAGCTCGATGGCTTGAATATTTGCAGAAAGCAAGCAAGGTTAAATTGAAGTGTGCTTTCAAATCCTAATGAATATTTGGGGAAAACCATTTCCTCCACCCCCCAACTATTTACTCAGCCTCGCCGTGCTGTTAAGTGACCACTCTGCCGCTGCATATGGTAAGGGAGGATGGAGAGCTGCAGCATCCTCCTGCGGGCACCCCACAAATCCGCGGCTCCTGCGTTCAGCTGGGTACCAACTGCAGCACGGGCAGAAAGAGCGTGGCCAAAACGCATCCCAGACCCCACATCCTCAGCACCTGCCCTTCTACAGCTCCTCCGTGGCCTTTCTTTGCGTGAACTGCTCCAAAAGCATCTTCAGCAGCACAGAAATACCAGTGACGGCAGCCCAGCTCACAAGCTTTCCCCCTCCAGCGCTGCTTTTCTGATCTCTCCATCACTACCGGCGCTTGTTTTCACCTCTAAGAGGCCACCAGAGCACTGTAAGTTATTCAACTTTCAGCAGGCTGCGCTGCGTTCAGGGAAATTGAAATTCAAAGCCTTAATTAAGGCAGGAAAAAAAAAAAAAAAGACCTGCATCTTAAGGAAGAAAAGCAAGATGAAATTCAGCCGCAGGAGCAGTGCCAGCGAGATGGGTTTGCCGTGCGCCCGGCGCGTTTGGTGGGAAGTGACGGAGGGCCGCCGAAACTTCGTCCTCCCATCGCCTACATCCCCGAGTCTTGAAGCACGCGGGGAAACAGGAAGGCGACCGAGACGAGGAATAATGAGTCAGTGATACCAGCAATTAGTCAAAAAAAGCAGCACAGGCATCTGCGGGCGAGGGCCCGTTTCCCATGACTTAACAAAACGCTCTCCCTCCAGGCTGACGAGATCTGGGCTCACTCATCACGCCAGCACTCCGGTTGTTCCCCTTAGGTTTCCTTTTTCTAGATTGTGCAAAAAATAAATACTAAAGGGATGGCTACGGGCTGGCACAGAAGACCAGGGCTTGCAACATCTCGAGACTTATCTCTGGCTCTGCTCTGGGCACAGCAGCAGGAGCAGCCCCTTTGGAGACAGCTCTCGCCCTGCTCACCGCGGCAGCGTTGGGTGGAAGCATGGGAAGCCCGACGGACGCGAGCACCAGATGTGCATGCCCCGAGCCGCGGAGGGGAGGATGCCCACGGGGCTCGCAGGCTGCAGGAACCAGCTCTGGGACATCACCCAACCAAACCCTTGTCCCCGATCCTCTCCGGACAGGCAGTCAGGCAGCAGATAAGCGCACGGAGCAGCCAAAGCAGGGCTACGGCAGCTCTCCGAGCTCGCTCCGTGCACAAGGAAGCCGACAGGCGTGCAAGCAGGTAGGCAGACGAACCAGGGCCAGCTCCGTCTCTCGGCTGACCTGCCAGCACCCCAAAAGCTCCTGCAGCCGCAGAGTTCCGAGGCGTGCCGCCAGCCTGCGATCGCAGCGGGTTCAGCTGCCGCCCAGCACGCCGACCTTCCCGGAGCGATGTCGGGGCTCGGAGAGGCAGCGAGCTGGCTCCTGGCACCGCTTCGCAACCGGGAGCACCCGAAACGCCAAATGAGAGCAGCCGAAAGGCGAAGCCACGCGTGGCAAAGCGCTGCCACGCCGCGAGGATGCTCGGGCACAAGCCGGGCGCCGCCAGCCCGCAAGGGGCACGGAGGGCAAGCTGCTGGCAGCACCGGGGACACGTCCCAAGGCTCGGGGGCAGGCACCGAGCGCTGCCGGGCTGCTCCTCAACAGGTTTCGGGGGCACGGCACGGCGCGGGGCTCATCCCCCCGGGACGGGCAGAAACCGGGGGGCTGGCACCGGGGGCGCTTTCTCCGGGCTTTTTTTCCCCCCGCACCGAGCACGGCGGCGGCGGCGGCGGAGAGGGGGCTGAGCGCGGAGCACCCCTGATTTTTGGGGAAAGGAGGCACCGGAGCATCCCCTCCACCACCACCACCACCACCACCACCACCACCACCACCACCACCACCACCACCACCCCATAGCCGGCAGCGGGACAGCGGCCGCCCCGCCACGCGTCCCCCCCTCGGAGCCTCACCTTCCACGGCAGCCGCGGCGGCGGCCAGGCAGAGCAGCGCCACCAGCCCCGCAGCCATCGCCCCCCCGGGCCGGCGTCCCCCCCGCCGCTCCGCCTCGGCCTTCCGCGGGCACCGCGCGGGGCTCCGCAGGCGTCGGGCGCCGCCGGCGGCGGGCGGGCATGGGCGGCGGGAGGCGGCAGAGCCGAGCCGGGCAGAGCCGAGCCTGGCCGCGCCGGGCCGGGCCGGGCCGGGCCGCGCCGAGCCGAGCCGCGGGACCGCGCCGCCCGCCCGGCTCACATCGCAGCCGCGAGTGGGACGCGCGGCCACGCCGCCGCCGCACGCCCCCGCCGCCCGCCCGCCGGCCACGCCCCCGCCCCCGCCCCCGCCCGCCCGCCAATCGCCGCGCCCCGCCCGCCGCCCCCCGGCCACGCCCCCGCCGCCGCCGTGCGAAGGCCGAGGGCGCCCCCCGGCGGGAGCAGGCGGGGAGGCGGGGAGGGGAGGGGAGGGGGGGGAGTGACGGCGGAGCTGCGTCACACCCCCCCCCGTGACGTCATGAGGGGGCGTGACGTCACGAGGTGGGGGTGACGTCAGCGAGGGGTGACGTCAAGGGATGGGGGGTGTGGGGTGCTGGAGGCGGCCCCCAACCCGCGCTGGGAGGGGTGGGAGAGGGAACGGGGCATGGGGACACCTGGGGGGGCGTGGAGGGGAGAGGGGGCACGGGGGGACAGCGGGTGGCCATGGGGACAGCATGGGGACGTCATGGGGACATCACGGGGACAGCACGGGGACATCACGGGGACATCATGGGGACGTCATGGGGACGTCATGGGGACATCACGGGGACATCATGGGGACGTCACGGGTGGCCATGGGGACGTCATGGGGACATCACGGGGATCTCATGGGGAGACACCAAGAAGCCACGGGGAAATCACGGGGAGACACCGGGAAGCCACGGGGAAGACACAGGGAGTCATGGGGAAGTCATGGGGGAGCCATGGGGAAGTCACGGGACAGCCACGGGGAAGTCATGGGGGAGACGTGAGGTAGCCCTGGGGAGCCCTGGGGAAGCCCTCTGGAGCCAGGCCTTCTCCTTCCCGGCTGCCCAGCAGCTCCGTGGGGTGGGGCAGAGCGGCCCCAGCCCCCTTCCCAGTAAGTCCCGTTGTTGCCCCGTTCTGGAGTTCGTATCCGGGCACCAACCCAGGCAGCTGGGTGTGTATGGCTGGGCTCACCCCGAGGCCGGCTGATGGGTCTCCCACAGGCGAGAGCCGGTGGCATTCAAAGAAAGCACCAAGAGCAGAGTCCTGGCTGGTTCTGAGCCAAGCCTGGCGAGCTGAGAGCCCAAGGGCATTAAAGCCAGGCACAGCCCAGGTAATTCACCGTCCCCTCCCTGCAGATAGTGGGTGTCATCGCCCTATGGCACCACTGCCCCATCCCGCACCCTGGTTGTGCACCTCAGCGTTTCCTGGTGCGGCCGCACGCATCCTCAGTGCTTGTGGCAGCAGCAAACAAAACCAAAAAAAAACAAAAAAAAAAAAACACCTTGCCCCATGCATTGGTACCACACCTGGGCAGGGGAGCCAACCTTTCCCGCAAAGGCACTGCCACTGCGAGTAGGGTTCAGGGTGCAAAGATCATCCCGCTGTCAGTGCGTGCTGCTCCTGCTTCCTCCTCCGGCCGTAGCTGCCCCGGTCCGCACACGGCGAGCTCCCCTTCGCACCCCACCTGCATGGGGAACATCAGGAGCTTCTGCTCCACCTGGGCGAGGAGGTAACGGCGAGCGGGGCGGGCAGGGCAGGCTGACAAAAAAAAAAATAAAAATCCCCATTTTGAAGAGCTTTTCCCTTTTGCCACCCCTATGCAGCTTCGGGGCAGGACGGTGGTCATGGGTGGCCGTCAGCAACAAACTCTCTTAGGGAAGAGAAGCGCTCTGTGCCTGAGGCAGAGTACTTCTCCCCGAAGCATTAATCGGTGGCACCAGCACCGTGTAATTTGTTACCGGTGGCACGTTTCTGCGTGGCTTCACTTCCTTAAAAGCAGGGGAATTAATCAGGTGCTTACAGCAGCACAGGGTTCGCACCATGCGGGCAGGCACCCCGGGAACAGGAGCCGGTGCTCCCCGTGGCCCCGCAGCCCCGCGGATTCATGGACGGGTTTGCACCGCAGGTGCAGGAAACGAATTCGCCTTGTCTGGGCAATGTATGGCAGCATCGAAGCGTTTGCCTGCGTTACCAAGTAACTGAGTAGCTGAGCATTGCCTTTCCCGACTAATTGATGCCCTCGGTGATTGCTGCCGGGGAGGAAGCACGGCGGGCAGCGAGGTGACCCCGTGCACCGCAGCCCTCCGGGGGCAGCTCGGCCACCACAACGTGTCCAGGGGTTTGCTCCATCCATCAGCAGGCGCTGGCGTGGGGCCAGCCTTCCTCAGTATCCCCCCGTTAATTTCCTGGGGTGTTTCAAAATATGTATATTTTATCCAGATGCATTTCGTATATGCGTGTATCAGATTTGGGGCTGGGAAGGGGGGAGAGGGGAAGGCTCAGGAAATCAAGGGATGGGGGAAATGCGACTCTGAGCCCAGCCCCAGGCTCCTGGACAAGCCCCTTCACCCTGCAGGACACAGGCAGCAGCTCGAGGCGCTTCTCAGGGGTGTGGGACACTCTCTAGATCTGTATACTTTGTAATGGGCCCTGTAAAGAAGGCCGTGACCACACGTCACTTTCTGTCATCAAGCCTCTGCTGAGGCAGGTTAGAACCAACCTGAGTCTCCGACTCACTGCTGATAACTACTGGCAGTGAATTGCCAGGCTCCGGGCTTGCAGCATTAACATTTAAAAATCACGAGACCCCAAATACCATGACACCACGTCTCGTGACCTTTAAGTCAAATGGGTTTAGGTTTCTTTTTCTTTGACTTTCAGTGTCCAAACCATAAGGCTCATGTATCCAAACTCGCCGCAGTCCAAAAGCACCAGGAGCCCATTTCTCAACTAAAACCCGAGCTGGTGGCTCATTAACTGGTGCAGGGAGCAAGGGGAAGGGGACTGCTTCGCCAACGTGACCCCACTCATTTTCACATCACCTCCTGGAGGGAAGGAAAATGATCAAGTGGAGATCAGCACAAGGTCACAGCCAGTCGAGGTGCCCAGGGCTTGGTCAGCCAGAGAACATCCCATTCAGTTATCACAACTTATTTTTAAATGGTTCTTTTCAATGCTGATGTGTTGCAGCGACCTTGGGCTTTAAGTCTGTTCGTGAAAGCCTTTGAATCTCGGTTGGAATTAACGTCGGCTTAGGCTGGCCAGAGCCAGCACTGAGCAGGTCCCCAAAGTTTGTCCGGGCAGCCTCACAAAGAAAAGCTCTCGGCAGAGCTAGGAACAGCCTTACACTTTTCATAAGTTAAAAGAAACAAGAGGGCTAAAGCTCAAAGACAGAACATTAGAAAATTTCCTAACACAGCCAGCCCCAAGCCCAGCCACGTGCTGCACTGAGCCCCTCAGCGCACCATACCCACACGGTCCCCATTCCATCTTTTTGCCAGGTTTCAGCCTTTGATAGCACGTTTTCCTGTAAAAAAAAAAAAAAAGAAATCAAAACCGATTTGAGAGAAAACCTTGCATCAGCCTGCATTAATTTGGTCGGCTGAAATCAAACTGTGGAGTCAGGTATTTGATGACTAAGGCACAGCACCGAATGAAAGCCCTTTCCTGCCTTTTTTCTGCATCACCAAGGTGTGCGTTTTAGATAAAAGTCACGTTTCTGACCGAGGCGTTGGCTGCCCGACCCCCTGCCTCGCTCTCCCTGCTCTTCCCACAGCACGGGGCCGGGGCAGACAGGAGAGGGACAGGGCACTGGGAGCTTCATCCTCAGCAACCCGCTCGGCCATCCCGCCCCGGCACAGCTGAGCGAAACCCAACCGTCCCGCCCGCTCTATTTGTACACGCAGATAAATATACATAAGGCAGAGCTGAAAAGACAGAGTCAGCGCCTCTCCGAAGCCCGTCAGATCCTGTTACCGCCAGATCCCCAGCACTCTGCGGCACGCACGCTCTTTGCAGCAGCCGTCAGCCTGGCACGGCGCGGAGCAGATGGTCACGATGACTTGGCCGGGGGATGCTGTCAGCCCCCAGCTCCTCGCCTCACATGATTTTGCCGTGCCACCTGGGCAGGGCACCACGCCATGGGGCGAAGGCAGCGCTCCCTGCCTCGCAGCAGGGTCCTGAGCAGGTCACCAGCCCACCCTGGGCACCGCCAGTGGCTCCCGGTGGCCCCTTCTGCCACGTGTGGTTGTGATTCCTCTTCAGCACGGGCACCAGGCTGGGGAACGTGGGCAGTCACCAGCAGGGAGAGCAAAACTGAAGGCAGAGGGATTGGAGCCACCAGCAGGACCTTGTGCAAATAGCCCAAAGCCTCATTATCACCAAATGATTACCTTCTGGTGGTTGCTGATGCAGCCTCGTTTTGCCCTGCTGCCCACAGGTCCCGCTGAGCATCCACTGCTGCTGATTGTCCCTAAACAGGGGGAGATGAGGCACAGGGGGCAGAAAAAGGCAGAGTGGAGCCAAGGGCAGTCTGTGCCCAGACACTCCTCCTACAACTGGTGGGCACTGGGAAGGAGAATGACCCCTGGTCCCTGTAGGGCTGGGGTGGGAGAGCGGAGTCTTGCAAAGAGCCCCAGGGAAGAGACCAGCCACGGGCAGCCCAGTTACCGCAGCATTCATGTGAACAGCCGCGAGCACGAGCAAGCCCTAAACTCTCTTCTCACAGCTTCAGAGGGGAGCCAGAGCACATCCATAAAGAGAAAGGCAGCGCAGTGGCCGGGTGAGCGGCCCCAACTTCCTGGCACTCGGGGAATCTTCCTAGATCACGTTACGTTCATGTGTCCTTGGCTCGTCTCTGTACAGTTGAAAAACACTGTAAGGGGAGCCAGCTAATTAAGACAGTTGGTCTTGCAGAGCAAAATCCAGGGAAACAATTCCTTCCCATTACACTGGATTGCAGACCTGTTGCTTTCACCCAGCCGTCCCGTTGCTGGCCGCTGCAGCAGCGCTGGGTGCTCACAGCGCACGGCAGTGCTCATGGCACAACCTGCTCTGCGGTAGTGCAGGGCATGAAGGGCCTCCGGTCCACAGCGGGGATGTTCCTAGGCACTGCCACGACACAAATAAATAATGATAATAATACTCGGGGGGGGTCGGTAGCATGCCCTGTCATCTGAGCCAGCGCTGATGGAAAGAGCACGGAGCTGGCTGCCGAGGTGCTGCGAGCGATTTGAATCCGCTGACATTTGGCCACCAATTGGGACAGGCTAGCGGCGGCTTCGGAAGGGAGCGCAAAGCTTTCCGACAAGCCAGCGAGCCGTCGGCGTGCTGGCACGTGCACCCACAGCACCCCAGGGTGCTGGGCAGATGAGCTTCAGGCTCAGGGTGCCCAACACCCTTGGGTGCAGCCACCCTTACCGTGCCAGCTTCAGGAGCGCTTATCGAAACCAATACTTCTAGGGCGATGAAGATGCTTGAACAGGGACCGCTCCTCATTTCTGCAGCTGTACAGTGCCATGGGGTTGGGTCTGGTTGGGTCTTTCTTTCCTTGGGAACCCTAAGGCGGATGGGGATGTGGGGTGGGAGAGCAAGAGGTGTCCTCCTGGGCTGCGAGCTGATGGCCGTGTCGTCCTTGCAGGCTGTGCCGCTGCTGCTGGAATGAAGGGGAAGACAAATCCACCGACCTCAGTAAGTCTACCACGGGAGCTGTGCTGGCAGGAGGTGGGGAGGTGCTGGCACGAAGCATGAACATCAGGCACATCACCAGTGCACGGAGCACACTGCCATCCCTCTTCTGCTCCGCGGTGCTCAGGAAAAAGGAAATCACTTTCACTGATCTCACTGAAGGGGAGAGGATAAACTCCAAAAGAAATTGTACCAGGGAGCAATATGGGACTGACCCAGCATTGCTTCCCCAGTCCTGTATTTTCCAAGAAAGTTACAGAAACGGTTCACTAATAAATAGCATAAACAATGACAAAGGGCTTCTGATTGGAACCAATGCCATGGTACCACAAAGTGCTGCCACCCGCATGCAGTGCAACACTGCAATCTGAATTTGCTGTCCTCTTCACCTCTCTGAAAAGGTGTAGATAATTTATAGGATGCAACAAAATATTTCTGGAGAAAAAAAAAAAAAAAAAAAAGACAACACTACCTTGCTGGCCAACACTTTTCCCACTGACTTTGGCTGTGCTGAACCCAGGCTCATCCACTCTCACCCTTAAACACGAGGCACGCTTTTGGTGGGAGCAGCAGGGGCAGGACAGGGCTTCAGCAGCATGGGCACCCTGGCACTGCTCTGGGCAAGGAGAAGCAGAGCTGAGCACAGCTCCGGGGGCCGCAGCTCTCCAGCTCAGGCTCTGCAGGAGCCCCAGGAGCAGAGCCCATCACGTGCCCAGCAGAAAAGCCGCATGAGCAGCACTGTCCTTGCCACCATCTCAATGACACAAATAATGTGCAGCAGAGCTGGCGGGGGACAAATGGTAAATCTCCAGCTAAGAACAATGATAATGAAAGTACGGAAGTGAAAATTCATTACCTGAGTCCACTTGGGAGATGTCCTGAGGGATCCTCTCAGGCTTTCTGGGTTGCTTTAACCCTCTGGGTCTGGCTGCAATACTTGCTCTGATGCACTGGCGTTGGCTGTGCTTTCTTCCCTTTTTTTGCCACTTCTTTGTCAGAAATCTGTCTGCTCCTCACAGCAAGGTGCTATGCACATCACCAGGCCCATCTCATCATGCTGATCAATGAATGCTCAGCATCCCCAAACTATGCAAGCAAAAGGAAAAACATAGTGTGATTTCGGGCCAGCAGCTCCAGGAAACAGCTTAATAACGTCTCCTCCTCTTTCCAACAGCCCAGGTGGAAGTGAGACATGAAACAGGACGACCCCAGCAGCCCAGCCCCACAGGTAAGCTCATTCCATCCAAACAGAGAAGTCTCCCTGAACGCTTTTTGTCCCCTGGAGCACAGAGGACACACTTCAGCACTGCCAATGTTGCTTAGGTTCCCCCAGCATCCTGCCAGCTCTCTGAAAAGTTAGAGATGCCCATCAGAGGCAGCCCATCCAGCCCATCTCCCACCACCTTTTGGAAGGCTGACGGGAACCAGGAGGGTTCCGCTTCCTCCTGGTGCACCTCCAGGAGCTAGCAGAGCAACATGCCAGTGCAGAAGCCTGCTGGCTTCAACCTAGGGGTCCAGCCGAGCGGCTCTTCGGAGGCAGCAGCAAAGTTTCCTTCTGGTTCTTGGCCACAATTTGAGTGTACATGTGGAGGGAAGTCCTGCCTCCCCTCGGGAATGTGCTTCCTGCCAGCTTTCTGTCATGCACTGAGGGGGGCATGAGGCCTCCTTTGCATCCGCCCTAGTCCTGGAGGACCCTTATATAGGGAAACGAGGCCTGACCCACCCAAATTAACTTTACCTGCCTCCTGTTGGCTTCGTGGCAGCTCATTCAGTCCTGACAAGCACCAGGCTCTTACCTCAGGGGCACTTGGGATCCTGTTTGGTAGGTGCAGTTCAGGGAAGGGCTCACTGAAACACCAGGATGACTCCAAACGCAGGCGTCTCAGCACAGCCGCACTGCTCGGCCCCTGCTGCTGACACCACTGGTGTCCCACCAGCAGCAGACATGCACAGACCGTCTCAAACACAAGAGACAGTTTCCTTGGCAGTTTCCCTGAGTCACCAGTATACTGCTTCTGTTGCCACCTTTGTCATCAGATCATCCCATAGCTTACTTCTGCTCCATGCTGTAGAGCATCCAGCTCTTCCCATGGCATCCTGGACTCTTGGGTCAGGAAAAATAAGCCCAATGAGAACTGTCATGATCTTGCCTCTAAATGACCATTTGGGTCCTTTAGCTCTAGCTCCAGGTGACCACGACCAAGCAGCGTGCCCATCTGCAGACAGATGTTCCTGAGGAACCCAGTGTTCCCAGTGCCCAGACCCATTCTTATGGAAGGATAGTTTGGTCACCCCAGGCTCACTGTCACACCAGGAGAGTTCATTACTACCACATCCACTTTCAGGAAAACATTAATAATGAGTTGCATGTATTTTTTTCCAAAAACATGTTTTCCAGTTGTTTGTCATCTGGTAGAAATTGATAGAAAATACCAGGGTAATCGGGCAGAGGAGATAACTGATGTGTGCTACAGGTCAGCAGGAAAAAGGAGGTTGTTCATCACTGCAGCAGAGAGGTGTTGATAAAACACAAAAGATGATGCTTGGTCTAGCAAAGTACCTTCTGCATCTCCCAGGAAGTGACAAACTGCCTGTTTAATTAGAAAGGTCAAGGCTCTCCCCTGAATAAACCAGAAATAGCCTTCTGGGGGGGGGGTTGGGGGGGGAGGGGATAATAATAATAATAATAAACCTGCCAGAGTATTATGGAGGACATTAGGAAAAAACTCCTTATAAAATCTCCACCAGACAAGAGCCACAGTTTCTGAGAAGGGGGTGTTGAGAAAACCATTCTGCTCAGGGAGAGAGCCCCCCTTCATGTTTAATGCAAGCAGATATTCCAAGTTTTTTCTCTCTTTCTTCACCTACGTCTCTTAAAACATTTGTAACCGCACCGCCTACCTCGGGTGTACCTTGATGTTAACCCAGCTTGTCCAGGGCCAATGTTAAACCAGTGGTTAGCAATAAGGCGTGTGGCCCCATGACATGGCCAATGCATAATTCAGGTTACCAGGACACCTTGAGGTACAATCCCCAAATCGCAAATAGGGATTAAAGGACAAACTGTCCCAGAAAGGCTGAATGGGACATTTCGGGAGCTGGTCCCATGGTGACTGAGAGGGGAGAAAATCTCTCTAGGGACCTGCAGTGGCCAGGAGAGCTCACTGACCTCCACGTGATGTCAGAGGGATGGGGTCCACCACAGGTCCTCCGTCTGCCTTCAAAGGAGGAGTTGTTTGAAGATTTTAAGAGAATCAGTGCCTTAATCATGGTGCTCAGCCCAGCCAGGATCGCTCTGCCCCTCTAGAAGAGGCAGCGACAAAAAGCAAGCCGAGCAGCATGCTGAAGGTCAGCAGATCCGTGCTCTGACACAAGGCAGCACAGCTCCCAGTGCTGCAAGATGTCCTGCCCAAAGCCCTTCAGCAGCTCCGTGTGCCCGGCTCTTGCTCAGACTGAGCAGCATCCAGCTGCCGCAGCGTGAGGAGAGGGGACGTCACCTGCAGAAGGGACACAAAATGTCAAGGCTGGGGATAGCAAGGTGAGGGTACATGACCACACTTCCAGGTCTCTGCCGCAGAATACAAATGTTGGTATTTTTTGCTTGTTTAAAAAAGAAAAAAAAAATAACAGCCTTAGGTTAGCTCATGTGCTGGTACCTCTCTGTGCTGGGGACAAGGGCAGGGTGTCCATGCAGTGCCACATGTCCCACTGGTGGGAGATAGGCCCTGCTCTGCTGTAGCAATAGCCTGGGAACAACACGCCTTGGCTTTTATGGACCAGCAACACAATCTGAGATGCCTCCTGCTACCAGAAGCACATGTTCTCTCACCTGTTCTCACACTGAGAAAGGAGGCAAGTAGATCCTGCTTCCAAAGCATAATCCCCGTGGTGTTTCTTCCTTGGGGGCTGTGGCACCTGCTTCGCGTCTGCGCACACCACCCAGCCGCATCGTCCTGCTGTGACCTAAATTCATCCTGACCCGCCTCGACGGGACCCTCCTGGCCACCCGTTAACCTCCTGTCTACGTGGATACCAGGAAACTGAGCACGGGGGTTTATAGTTCAGTGGAAAGTTCTGCTGCTGTCTTAAATCATAAAGCACAGCTGCTGACACAGCACAAGCTGCAAAGCGAACAGAGCATTTGTGCAATCTGTGGTTTGGAGGCCGCCGGGACGAGAATAAGCACAGCGTCTTGCAGCTCTGTTGGAGGGAGAAGGAAAGGACAGGCCAGAAGAGTAGATTAAAACTCATCAGAATGCCATTGTAATACCCGGTGCAACACGAACACAGCCTGGCACTTCAAAGTCAGCCCACAATTGAGGGAAAATGGCAGCTGAGATTCAATGGCTGCAAATGCAAAGCAATGTGTGGGGAAAAAACAAAAAACTAACAACAGGCACCAAATACATATGCACACGCACGGACTAATGAGCCCTAAATGAGCTATTCTGAGCCGGGAGACGGATCTTGGGCATCTTTGTGGAGAGGGCTGTTCAGACACCACCCTGGTGGTGCCTTGCACACTTTGTTTTCTTCTTGTGCTGGCCTCGGGCCTCTGCCAGAGGCCTCTGTGAGGGACCAGGCCCGACCTAGAGGCCCTTTGGGGCTGGCCCAACACAGTTCCCCTACCCCTGCTGGGGGGACTCACGTCCCCAGGCTTCACATGGAACTGGTGACAGCCAAGGGGACGCGGTGCCCAGGGGCAGCCCGCTCCCAAGGGTGAGCAGGCCAAGCTCCTCTGGAGACCATGCCCCATGGAGCAGAAGGGCCACCCTCGCGCTTCTTCTGCCCATGGTCATCTGTGGCCACTTAACAAAGTGGCCTTTGTTAAGATTAAATGAACGTAAAAGACCCTCAAATGTCTTCGGTCTTCCCACCACCCCTTCTGCACAGCCGCCAGAGACACGCCAGCCGCAAAACGCCTGCGGAAGAGTTAAAGCGCTTTCCTCAGCGAAGCAGCCTGCAATCTTCTTCTCCACCCAATGGGACTCAAATAACCTAATTCTTGTTCTACATTTGTATGGGCTCTCCTTCCCCCAGCTCACCCCTGGAGAAATGACAGCTATGTGGTAAATACATGTAATCATGCCAGTCTGATAGCTTCTCTTGTTCTCTGGCCATTAATTCATCTCCCTGGGACTTAGGTGAACGTTTTGCATCCCGCAGCAAATTCAAAGAGCTGCCTTTATTTTAAAATCAACACGACAATAAAAGCCTTTCTCCTTTCCCTCCTCAAAATGCAAATTTTTAGCTTCAAAAATATCCTGGCACACAGACAGCTGTTGCTGGCCGTGACCTTATCTCAGGCCAATGACAGATTTCCCATGCATGAGAAGTCGCAGGGTTTAAAAAACCTCCTGACTGCCCTGTGCTGTGGCTGGGGCAGGTAACCGGCACTGGAGGATGTGTTGGAGTGATAGGACTCGGTGGGGCAGGCTGGTGGTTGGGCTTGATCTTGAAGGTCTTTTCCAGCCAGAATGACTCTGGGATCCTATGAGCAGCGCTTGCTGCAAGCAAAGCCTGCATTTCGTGATAAAAACACTAACAGAAATCCCCCCTGGGATAAATGAGCAAAGAAAAATGCGAGAAAGCCCTCCAAGAAGAAACGCCTTCTTCCTGATGATCGCTATTTCTAGGAAAGCAGGAAATTTCTGCAAATTTTCTCATCTCTCTGGACACGCGTTTTGGCAGGGCAGCCGTGACAGTGATGGCAGAGCAGTGCTGGTGACTGTACGGGTGCCGGCCCAGGAGCATCCAAGTGCACCATTAAAAGAAATAAATTATCATCACGACCATGGACAAACCGCATCAGCTTCATACCCAGCTCCCGTGACAGCACTCCCTTGGGGGCCTGCCCCACTCCAGCCCACGTTCATGGCATAATGCAAGAAGCCAGGGGACGGCGGGGAGGAAAGGGTGCTGCAGGCCGGGGCTGGAGCCAGGCAAGGGAGCACTAAAGGCCAGCGGGCAGATGGCGAAGCGGCGAGCAGAAAGTCACCACGGCCATAAATCTCGGGGAGCGGAGACGGGCAAGCCCCAGGTGGCTGGGCAAGCCTGCCCGGTGAGCCCAGCGGTGCCCAGGCCGCCCTGGGCCAGCGGCCGCGCGGGGTGGGACGGGGGCCAGTGATAAAATTAGAAAAGCGTTTCCCTGCCAGTCCCTTACGCGGGCTGCAGGAGCCGCTAACCCCTGCGGCACTGCCCTGTTTTGTTGGCTGGGGGAGCTGCTGGAAAAGCGGGATTTTTCTGCAAAGCGCCAGCTCCCACTTGGTGCGCCTGCAGACAGCCGGTGGGGGAATTATTCAGATGTCCTCTTCGGCGCCGGGCACTTCCCCTCACTCCCTCTGCCTGGTGTGCCCGAAATGGCTGCTCATGCACCCCGTTTCCAGCAGCTCTCCCCCCGCTGCACCAAGCTGCAGCTTCGCGGCAGCAAGCCACCTCCCTGGACAGCACTCATTATTATTATTTCTGTCCCTAAGCATCCTTTAAGTTTCCACTGGGGGGACAGAATCAGAAGGGAAAGCCTTTTAAGGATTTCTGCCCGCTTGGGAAAGCGAATCCCCCCCAAGCCAAGAGAGCTGCGAGGGGGATTTGAGTGCAGGCAAGTGCTCAACGCCGAAAGGGCAGAGCGAGGGGAGGGGGAGCCCAGGGCACGCTCTGAAACCAGAGCCCCCAGCCGAATCGCGGCTCCTTCCTCAGCTGTAGGAAGTTCACAGGGCTTGGCGTTGGCAGAGCACGGATGGTGACCGAGCGGGGCAGCTCGGCGTGGCGGCAGCTCAGCGGTGGCCCTGCCGCGATGGGTACCGTGGACCTGAAGGAAGGTCCCAGCACCGTGGTGATCAACATGATGCTTATCGTCCGCCCCGAGCAGAAAGGGCAGAGGGACAGACAGACAGACAGCGCAGGTAAAACCCCAAGGGAGGGGAGGGCTGCAGGTGTGGCGCCAGCTGCTTGCTGGGGCCAAGCAGCAGCTTGGGAGTAGAGCTTGGGCTTTTCCCCCTCCGCATCTCCCTCCTGTTTTAAGAGATGTGCTGCAAAATGCCCAAACTTCCCCTTTTTTTGCAGGAGAGCCCTTTGCTCCTGCACACTTCTGGGCACTGGCACGTGCCACCGCAGCTGCAGGAGGAGGTGACGTGCGCGGGCCACCGCTGAGGACCACGCGTGCACCTTGCTCTGCCCTGCGAGCAGCAGAGCACGGGGGCAAAAGCGTTGTGTGCGAAGGGTGTGCAGGCTTTGTCCCCACAGGTGGCTGCCCCGAGCCATTTATAGCTCCAGTCCGTGCCACTCTCCCTGGCCCAGCTCCTAGCATTCAGGGGATCTTCCAAAAAGCTGAGAACATGCTCTGCAAATGCAAGGGGACCTTCCCTGCAGGAATAAAAGGAGGGGGGATAAAAAGAAAATAAAAGAAAAAAAAGAGAAAAAAAAAAAAAAAAAAAGTGTTTCTGCTCAAATTCCTTAGGGAAAGGCTGGCTCCTCCAGATGGGCTGATGCCTGCTGGGTCTGGGTCTCCAGAGGGAAGGGAGCTGCAGGGACAGACCTGACCACTGTGTTCATCTGCTCATTTATTTGGGAAATAACGCCCAGCTGACATCCTGCAGTGCTAGCACAGACTCATATTTATGTTTTACAGGTTTACAGAGTGATGGAAATGGAAACAACAGACCGCAACCTGCACAGGGGAGAGACCTTAGTGGTAAGTTGTCTCCTCACTCCGCACATGGGAACACCCCCCTACCAAAAAACAGTACACAGTGCCCATCCACAATCTTGTAGTGCCCAGCTCTGCCTCAAGACAGCAACATGTTTGAAGCAAACTATCTCCTAACAGCACCTTGGGAGGCTTCAGTGGGCACAGGGCTCTTAGGTCATGGGGGGTCCCCTGCATGTTCTCCTATACCGCACGGCCAGGATATGCGCTTCTGACACCGGTGGCACAGCAGTGTTGGAAGAGCAGGCAGCACTCTTTCTCCCGTGGCACCACAGAGGTTAACACGTTCCTCCTGAATCAGCATCTCGATGGGCCCCTTTCCCCAGCACAGGACACAGGGGAGGGCTGCGGGTGAGATGCTGAGCACTGCGCCATGCTCTCGCTCAGGGACCTCACCGCTTCCAGGCGCCCCGCACCTCTCCGTGCTCCCAAGCACAGGACATTTTGGCTGTGCCCAACAGGGCGAGCACATCTGGGTGACCACCGCCTGGAAGGGCAGCACAGCTCCAGCAGCTCCAGCCCATGCCCTCCTCAAACCATCCCACCTGGGCACCAGCCTCTGGAGCAGGGCCACATCCCATCATTTTGCCCCGTGCCCCAAGCAAGCCTGCTTCCTCATCCTTACTGCACTGCCAAGCTGACACTGCTCTCCTCATGGCACTGAGATGTTCTTCTCCCTATGAACAGGCCAGAAAGCCTCCGAGGAGCCCTACAAGCAGAAGCAAACCATTACTTCGTATACAAATGAAGGTAAGTGACCAGCCAAAGTACATGGGTTTTTCAGAGCAGGGCTTCAGCAAGCTCCTGCTCAAGCTGGTTTGTAACAAACACACCCACAGGACACCCCACACAAACAGAAACCAGGACGTAGCATGGATGTAACCAATGCCAGATATTTCAGTGCAGATGGAAGGGGACAAGCAGCAGGACAGACAAACATCCTTATTTCTCCTGGTGGAACCATCTCAAGTTTCACGCGCTCCTCTGGCTCACAGCTAAAGACTTCCCAGTTCCTTATGGAGGGCGTCGTAATTAGGAATAGCAGAAAACACCATAAAAACATCAGCAACCATTTCATCTCTCTAGTTTTTAAGGAAACAGGTGCAGCACTTTGAACATTTACTGTGGGATTACTTTTTATCATTTGTTAAACATTGTTTAAGCTTACTGGGAGAAAGCATTCTTGTGTGCTAAATTTGTTTCTTGGAAAACAAAGAATTCTAATTTAGGGGGGAAAATTGAGAAAGTGGGAATTGGCAAGAAAGACCACAAAAATCCACAGATATGAATAATCCTGAGAAATAGCACCCTTGCAAAATATAAAAATCTAAGGAAATCATACTATTTGCAGAAAGGCAAGCCTTTGAGAAACAACATCATTTCACCTTTAAATTAACTAACAAAACACACCAACCAGCCCTCATCTTGGCCCCCTGGTACCTGCAAGCATCCCAGAACTGGAGCCAAGCTCTAGGATTTTAAAGGGTTGTATAGTTTTTACAGTCTTTCTTGCCTTCTGCTGTTGGGATTTAAGGACATCGAACTTTTCTGTAAAACCACAGGAGATAAAAGAAAACTTTTTAAAAAGTTAAATTCTGAGAAAAACTTATTATTCAATGAGAGTGCAGATTCCTACCTAATTAGCTGCTCCCAAGAGCTGGGTTTTAGGGAAAACCTCAAAAACCACGAGGCTCTGGCTAGAGCTGCTGGGGGCAGCAGGTACAACGTGCTGGCAGCCCCGAAGTGCATTCACACTTTGACCTTTCATCTCCAAAATAACCCCATGCTGCCTGGCCCAGCGAGCCCACCCGCGTGGGAACTCGGGCAGCTGAAACCTCCTAAAATGCTTGCCTGAAGTGCAGCCTCTTTCAGAAAGTTCAGGTAGCTCCTGTAACACTTCCTGACTTCTTCCTTGTGTCTCTCTCTCATGGTCAGAGTGAGGCTTTAAGCAAAAGACCCCGAATTTCCAGGGAGGTTGTCTGGGAGCATCACGGCACGCAGAGCACAATGCTCTCAGACAACACTGCCCCTTGCAGGCAATGGCCTTTTCCAAAGGTTTTCATACCACAAACCAAGCCATTTCCATAGCTTTGAGCCTTTTTTCATTTTATTCTGAGAAAAATCAATGAGACATTGATTCTCTGTTTACTGTATCTCCATCAAGAACTACTTAATACGGCAATAAACCCCTTCTTTAAGCTGCCACATGATCCTCATTGAGGACCTCTGCTTTATTATCGCTTGCTTCAACACCTGCTACACTATAACAGGCTTTCTTTCTTTTTTTTTTTCTTTTTTTTTTTTGAGAACTGAGAATTTTTTTGAGAGCCATGTCAGAGGTGACTACAGGTTTTCTTACAGTATGCTTTATTTGTTCTGCCAGGAAAGCAGAGCACTTTGGTACCTTCTCAGATGGCAGAGGTGCCGCCTGTTTTGCTAAGATTGTGTCATTTCAGCGATGTTTGGGTGGATGTGACCAGGTTTGGCACGCCGACCCTTTGGCCCTCCTTCACATCTGAGCACTGATTGTGTTCCCTTTCCAAGCACGTTTGTCACCATTTCTTCCAGGAACCCAGGTGACGGTGGAGGTCCATCCCAGGAACACCACCCCGCAGCTCTTCAAGAAGCTCTCCTTCAGGAAAGGTACGTTCCCAGCTGGGAAACCTGCCCATGGCTGAGGGAACACCCCTCCCTTCATGGGCACCACACTGGCGGGGACTCCCGGGAGCTGCAGGCGATGCTGCAGCCCTGGAGCTGGGGTGCTGATCACCACGGCCCCACAGCACTTTCACTAATTGTGCCCATATCATTGCAGGTTCCCAGAGGCTGCCCAGCCTGAGAGGCCAGGACAACAAAGGTGAGGCTGCCTTACCTCCAAGCCAGGGAAATTGCTCCCAGGAGGAGGTGGCTCCCTCCTCCCCTGGTGGGGCTGGTGTCTTGAAGCTCTTGAGATGTCACCAGCCCTTGGGGTCAGGCGCTGGCCACACTGCCCAGTGGTGGCCATACCCATGTGGGTGGGTGCAGTGATGCTGAGAAGCAGCTGCTGGTGACAGCAAAACCTTTCTCTTCCTGGGGTAGGGTTAACACAGCTGGCGATGATATGAGGCCATCAGAAACCCTCAGCAGCTGCCTGCAGAGGCACCATCTATGGCCAAGCCAGCACAGGGGCCTCATGCAGCATCCAGGCTTCCAGCTTGTCCATGCCACCAGCGCCTTGGCTGGGGTGTGATGTTCCCAGCCCCAGGGCTGCAATGGGAGGCATCCGACTGCCGGGGAACACAGTGTCTACAGAGCCTGGGGACTCCCAGAATTCACCCCTCTCACTTCTTCTTTTTCTCTTGCCAACAACTGATCGCCTCATTCTTCTTTCTCCAATTTTCCAGCTTTCGAAAGGCCCGAAGCCCCGCAGGCACCAAGTGGGAAAGACCTGCATGGTAACTATCATCTGCACCCAACCCATGCCAGGAGGGTCCAGCCCCAGGCAGGGACCCCAATCTCTCCCCCAAACAGGCTTGCTCTGCTCCTGGAGGGTACGGAGCTGTGATCTTGGTTCTACCAATACGAGCATGTCCAGCTTCCCAGTCCCCCACAAGTCCTGCATGGCTCTGTGACCACCCCACAGGCTGGACGGGGACGATCTCACATCTCCGTGCACACAAAGGGGCACAATGCACGCTGCCCAGCTAACAGCGTGAGCCTGCCTGAGTTATTCTGGACCCCACATCTGCGGGGAGCCTTTGCAGCTATAACCTGACAAAGATGAAAACCGATAACCAATTTTAAGAAAACATCCAGTTCCCAAAAGGCAAAAAGTAATTTTCGGAGCGGTGTAGAGTAGGAACCGTTAAGCGCGTAAATCTGCTTTATCTCTCTTTAGGTCAGCCTAATAGCCCTTTTCAGGGAAAACGGAGATAAACAAACAGCCTGTTACAGGAGCAGAAGCGGCGTGCTTGCAGCCTGATTTTGGCAGGACAGCCAGTGTGGTGGCCCGCGTCCTGCTGGCAGGCAGTACCGTCCCCAGGGGCTGAGCCGGACCCAGCGCCCAGCCCCGTAATCCCTCCCTGGGGCAGGGGTTTCCGAGAAGAGCAGGGCTCATGTTAGCAGAGCATCTTTGCAGGTCAGGAATAGCCCCTCTGCGAAGGGAGGGGAGATGGACGCCTCTCCCGGGGGCTGGAGCTGGGGGGGATGAGCCCGAGCCCAGTTTTGGGGAGCTGGGAGGGGGAGCACAGCGGGCACAGGTGTCAGAGTGAAGAAACCCAGCTCTTTGCTGGTTTTGTTTAGAAAGTCTTGCTTTGCAGAGGATTGCACAGCACAGGTTTTCCCTGATGTTTCTGCAGTGTTTTGTGCTCTCACATCCAGCACCCAGGCATTTTCAGTGCTGCCACACAGCTCCAAAGACACTGGGTACCTCCCGCCCTGCCCAAACTCCACTGGAGCGGAGGCGATGAGCCCTGCTTGCCATGCAGCTAGCGAGGAGCCTCCACGGGTGCCCTCACGTCCTCTGTCCCCAAGCACCAGTTCTGGCCATCCTGCAGGACTGACAGTGGCTCAGCCGTGGCCCCGGGGGCAGCCACAGCCCTCTCTCCCTCCCTCTGCCCCTCCCTTCCCCAGACAATACCCTCTTGTTTCTTCCCAGCGTATCCATGGGACAAATCCTCTTTGAAATCCATGCCACTAGATCTGCAGCAATTTGAGAAGCTGGATGCCTACGCATTAAAAGTAAGTCTCGCTTCTGCCTCCGTCCCTCTTCCCTGCATACACCAGCAGCAGACATCCCACTCTGGGAGGGAACCTGTGACCAAAAATACATCTTGCTTGAAACGTGGAATTACAGCTCTGTGCTTCTATTTTTAACAAAGCTCGAGCTAGAGCAGCGTCCCGGCAGGTGGGGTCTCACCAGCTTTAGCAGGACAAAGGATGGGGAAGGCAGGGGTGTCCGCCACAACATTTCTTCACCCCAATCTCACCCAACACTTCCTCCTCCCAAACAGGTGAACGTCAACAACAGCATAGAGGAGCTTGTTCAAGCCCTGCTTAAACGAGCCCGGACCGACCTGGAGAAAGTCCGCGTCATATGGATGTGGATATGCCATCACATAGGTGGGTCGGGGTCTTCCATAGAGAAGGTAACGCTGCTGCTGCTGGTCTCATTACGCTGCCGCTGCGATTCACTCTGTGTCTTGTGGGTGGTTTCACATAGAAGGCGCAAAGGAGCGCTTTCCGGATATATTTATCCAGAAATACCTTCAGAGGTTATCTCACCATCTCTGTTTCCACACTCCCCCTCCTTGCACTGCCAGGCCCTACAAGGCATTGTGCAAATGGTTTCTCTCCGTATGGTGGCTCTGTAACGCCTACCCAATGTATTCGAGGGTGCAACCATACCAGTCCCCATCATCAAAGCAGCTGAAGCACAAAGCCAGGCTGCCGAGCACCAGAGGCTTGGCTGTCACATCCAGAGCCCTACAGCACCACTGGATTTGCAGACCGATTGCATTTTGCATAGGACATGCACAAGCTCTTAGGGGAAGATGTGGATTTAAACCAGTTTAAAAAAAAAAAAAAAAAAAAAATGAAATGAGCCATACGTGCTGCAGCTCATCTCGCTTCGTTTGCGCTCACGGAGGTGGAAAACAAAGCAAGAGTTGCTACTGCTGCCCACCGAGCCTGCTGCCTCGGGCTTCTGGATGAACTTTAGCCTGTGCTCCTTCCCGCAGAGTACGACGTAGTGGGCTTCCATGACAAAAGCCAGCGGCTGTGCAGTCCCATAGACGTGCTGCGGAGGGGGAAGAGCGTTTGTGAGGGATACGCTGCGCTCTTTCAGCAAATGTGCAGGTAAATTAAGCTCAGGAACATTTGGTGCCAGGGAGGGTTAACGTTTGTTGTCATCTCCGTGCCTATTCTGTCTGCCTTTGCATTGACTGATGTGACTTTAAGCAGGACGCAGAACTTCAGCTTTCAAACCATGCTGTGGGAAACCAGCAAGTCCTGGAAAGGTCAATTTTGCTCCCTCCTCCTCCCCTCCCCAGCATAATTTGCTTTGTGCCATCTGCTGAGCTTCGCATCGCATTAACATAATGGCAGATGAAAACACGGAGATAATTTGGTTAGAAGAGGCTAGGTTTTTCCTTCGAGTGTCCGTATGTGAAGGTTAAAAGCATGGCGAGCCTCAGACAAAAGGGAACTCTGCCTGCAGCATGCTCCTGTGGCACAGGCAGGCAAAGCCCCAGCAGGAGCTCGCCCAGAGCCCTCTGCAGGTGCCCTCTCCGCTGGAAGGGACGGCCCTACAGAGAGAGGGTGTCCGCAGGAGATGACTTGCCCTGATGACTCAGCGGCACAAAATTGGAAGGGGCCTCCTAGCACCAGAAAGCAATTGTGTAGTTTCCTAGAGCACAGGTTTGTGAGGCAGTGCTGTGCCTTCCTCTTCTCGGTAGACCAGCTTCCACCGACAGGCTTTGGAAAAATGGAAGATCAGTCACCTGCTGGCACATGTACGTAACAATTGGCTTTCCACACCATGCAAAAAGATTTAGGAAGGCTTTCACCATTAGATAAACAAGATCTAGAAGGAAAAGGCCAGATTTAAAAATAAATAAATAAATACTGTGACAGATGCTAATGATGCTAATGTGGTAAATGCTTCCAACCAATAACATATCCCATGATACCTGATCCTGCTTACCAAAGAGTAAAATAAAGAAAGGGGATGATGAAGTATGAATTTATAACTGCATATTATGAAACAGTTATTAGCGGTTAGAAGTGGGGGAAATTATCATCTGTTCATTAGAAAGCATATGTTTAGTTCATTAAAAACATTAATCTTTCCAAGGATCTTTTTTACTATTTAAAGGCTCTGTTGATTCATCCTTCATTCCTCAGATCCAGGTTGATTATTCATTCCGTGATTCAGGAAACCTCCCAGTCATGCAGTCTATCACTTTTGACAATTAGCTAAATATTTCAGCTCCTCTCCTGAAAAACTATAACCCAAGCCACCTCCTTCTTGCAAGACAATTTCCTCATTCTTTCTTCTCATGCACCATTCAAGTCTTACACTGAGTCTAAGCATAAAGGTGAGAGGCAAAGAGCAGCCTTCTTATATAAAAGTTTTCAGAGACAGATTTGGGTTTTCTAACATGCCTTTTCTCCTAGCTCCCACCAAGGCAGCTTTAACAAACAGCCCAATTCACCCCTCACCACAAGTACCCCCAAGTTCAACTTCAGGCAAGCCTAGCACTGAGCACCTGGGGAGAAACGCTCACAGCAGCAGCAGCAGCGAAGGCACAACAATTGTTTGCTCTTCAGAGGTTTCAGCACAACCACAGGAGCAGAGCTGGCCACACACCCCACAGTGGGTCTGCCCACTGCCCACTCAGCTGCTCCTCGTGCAGAGTTGGTCTGCAAATAGCCCAGGCTGCCCATCCTCTCCTTTTCCTCTCTACAGTCTGTGGCTGTTCCTGGCTCTTGGGTACAACTGCCTCCCTCTGGAGAAGCCAGATTTGCTTCTTTTTTTCAAATGAAATCTCCAAAGCCAACCTGAAATGAAAGGGAAGAGGCTGCCATTGAATTCAAGTGACATCTACAGCAAGACCCAGATTATTTCCTACTTTTCTTGAAGTCGAAAAGCATTTTAGGCTTAACCACCTTGGTGCACTGAGCAGATGTTGAGAACAGTTCCTTAACGCATTTCTTCTTGTCCACCTTGCTTTTAGGGTATTTCCTACCAACACATTGCCACATCAGGCATTTCTGGAGACCTTCTCCATCTTCTTTCTGCACGGTTAACTTACCTGTGTAAAGTTGTTTATACAAGAACGGAGACGTGATCACTCACTCTCTTCACCAGTAGAGGATTGTTCCTACAGGAGGTTTTAGTGTGCTTTTGTCCATCTTATTGAGGAGACTTAATTGAGATGCTCTGACCTTTCTCTTAGAAACTCAGCACATCCAAGCAGGGACTCTTGCTGTACCTTTGCTAGCTTCATGTTAAGCGAGAGCACAGACAGAAGGGAGGGCAGAAGGTGTCCCTTGGTGTTCTGTCCGAACACCCAGACAACCGAGCAGCAACAGGGCGCTGCCACGGCTCTCCTCCCCGTACACCTCTGTCTTCTCTCTGCAGGCTGCCCAGCCAGCTCCCAGCTGACTCTCAGTTCCCCTTTCACAACGACAGAGGAACAGATAACTAAGTAGCACAAGGTCTTCCAGGCGCTAGGATGTCTGCGTGTGAAGCTGATGGGGCTGTCTTCCCTCTACACAGGCATCCCCTCCATGAATAAAGTGGTCTTCCCTACGAGCACTGCCAAACTGCTAATTACCAGCCAGTATCTCAGTTATCAGACCCAGGCGTCTTAACAAGCATGCTAATTATCTTCCCCATAAATATCATTTTTCTTCTCACTGAATTAAACCCACGTTATGCAGACAGTCTTGATCTTGACGCATGCACGGTTTGTTACTTAAGGTAGCTGTTACAGCTAGCTTACTTTTCAATGAAGAAGAAAAATGTCAATACCATCCTACACAAAAGACAATCCTCTAAGCGAAGTAAGTTTAGATTAATGCTGAAATACGAGGCCAATATTAGAATCCGTTGCTATCAACAGCAGAGGGCTTATTAACACATTGCTTATTTAAATCCTGTTTACACTTCAACAAGTATTCATTATTTAAAAAAGAGAGAGAGGGAAACTATTTAATCATTTGTACCCTGGGCAAGCACAAGGTCACTCTTTAAGGAAACTAAATCAACCTCCACAGTCCTGGGAGGTATAAGAGATCTTGGCTGGTGTCAAACACTGGGCCTACTGTTAGAGAGAGCACGAACAAATGCAGTTTTAATTTATAATTACATGGGCTAATTGTGGAGAGCATCAAAGGGATCCCACTGAGGAACAAGACAGAGAGCAATTAAACGCACCTCATCTTTGTCATCCTCCCCCAGAAAGACTGAGTTGATGGCGCATCAGGCAAAAGAGATGGAACGTGCAAGAACTGGAAGAGAAGGGCCCCTTCCTCCCGTGGGACCCTCTCTCCAAATTTCTGTGCAAAAGCTACAAGGGAAAGAAGACCTCTACGCAACACTGGGCAACGCTAACAGCCTCGGGTGTCGCTGCCTCATGCTGTCCTGTGCTCTGCTGCCCTGCACGGAGCCAGCCCCCAGAAGGGCACAGTCTCCACCTGATGCCACTGGGCAATGGGGAGAACTCTCCTGCCTCTGGAAGGGCTGAGGAGGTCGTGCCATGCTCAGGGCTGAGCCACCGGCCCAGCAGAGGTGCAATGAGCCCAGTGCTTTGGGCGGCACGTGGCCGGAGCAGGCACCTGTGGTGTGCTGGCACTGGTGTGGGACGCTGTGGGGGGCTGTGCTCCCGTTCAGTACAGAATTAAAGTTCTGTGGATGCGCTGGATGTGGCTCCTCACGTCCTCCCACAGAAGTACACTGAAGGATTTAAAACCAAAATGTCCTGCTGCACCTCGTTGTTCTCTTTTAGCATCGCAGGAATCCAGTGCATGAAGCTATCAGGATACTCTAAGGGGTACGGGTACACGGTTGGGCAGGCCTTCGAGGGAGACTCCAACCATGCCTGGAACGCCGTCTACCTGGAAGGAAGGTGGCACTTACTCGATAGCACCTGGGGAAGCGGTAATGTTGACACTTCTGACAAGTTCACCTTCAGGTAGAGAAACAATTCTCTAATTTAATACATAAACCTACCACAAAGGCAAGCTAGCAGGTGTGCTAAGAGACACCGGGGACAAAGTTTAGGTCTCACCCTCTGGGCTGCCTGTCCAAGGGAGGGAGCTCGTTGCTGTGGAAAGGGGGTGACCTCGAGCAGCAAGCAGTGGGACTCACAGCTTTCAGCTGCCCCAGAGGAGGTGCCTCCCTCTTTCTTCAGGGCCCGTGGTTGCAGGGGACAGCACAAATACCCTGGGTTTATACAAGAGCTCAGCATTTTGCCCTGGAAATAGAAAACCAAAGCTGAGGTTCCTTCTCTCCCTGGAGAGTTTCAAACCCACAGAGCTCAGCTTCTCAGCAGCCCCAAACACTCTGACTTCCTCCTACTGAAACCACCATCACTGTGCGGCGGAAGAAGTAACTGCTTATAATTACTCACTTTCCTTTTATCTCTTCCTTCTCCTTCCAGATACAACGAGTTTTATTTTCTGACTCACCCAGCTCTGTTCATTAACGATCACTTCCCAGATAACAGTAATTGGCAGCTTCTCAAACCAGCTCTGACGCTGAAGGAATTTGAGACTACCGTGATGTACAACAGTGACTTCTACAAGCTGGGCCTGCTGGCTGTGCACCCAGATACAGCCATCATCCAAACAGGTAATCCCTGCCTTGAAAATGAGATTAAAACAATTTTCTGTGTTCAAAAAGTTTGACTTACTGAACAACATATAACTAGGCTCTTCTTTACGTGATACTCAGCACCCTGCAGCATCCAGCAGCAATTTTAACACGAAACCATTCAGGTAACCTCACTGCCCCAAAGAGCCCACATTTCAGGTCACCATCTTCAGATTTTAAAAGGGCTGCAGGAATTTTAATAGTTAGCCATTTTTATGAATGCCAAGAACACAAAAGTTCAAACTGAAGGGCAGCAACATTTTAGGACTTAATGTTGTCTTCAAGCACTTTGGGAACAGGCTCGTAGGGAGGTCAATTATCTCATGCCTGTGTACTGCAAGACTCCTACACCTTTCTCTGAAGCTTCTTGGAATGGCTGCTGGACTAGAAATCGGGTCTGGCCACGTCTAACTAAGCCCTTCTTGACCACACAGGCTGACAGTACTTGCAGTTGCATTTCTCACAGGTTTTCATATTCTATAGGACCACAGCTCCATTTCAGTTGATATCAAAGCAGGATTAATGCACACCTCCAAAAAAAAAAGGTCATTCATCACCTGGTTCTTTTGAGGGGCACCAGTTTCTGTAAACAGGTGACCTGTCAGCCACAGCTCTCTCTTTTACTGATAGGGAAGTGACAATCCGTTGGGACAGATTAGTCTTCTGGAACAGGGTATGTACATGCAAAAAAAAATGCACTGAAACTCTGATGTGGTTTCTTTTCTTACATATTTCATAGTCAATGGAACCGCCACCATATCAGTGGATTGCCGCTCTTCCACATTATTTACATTTTCGCTGAAGGGAAGAGAAAAACATGGCTTACTGACTTTGAGGAAACACGGAATGAAGCTCGAGATCTACCCACAGAGTACAGGGCGCCAGGAACTGGAGATCTTTGCCAAGTCCTCCAACTCCCCAGAAGATGTCTACAACCACGTGTTGCAGTATGTTGTCGAGTGCAAGTCTGTGGACAAGAGCGTTCACTTCCCGAAGGACCTACACCAGCCCGTTGGACCAAGTTGGCTCTCAGAGCGCCAGGGGTTCCTGAGGCCGTCACAGCCCGACCCAGTCGTCCACACCAACGATGGACGGTGCTCTTTCACCTTCACCCTGGGAAAGGACATAAGCATCTTACCCACGCTGCAGTCTGATAACAGCGGCCTGACAGAGGACAGGAGAAGGCAGCACATCATGCAAATCCATCGTGGCAACCAAGTTGAGTTTCTGGTCCATCTCCCCCATGCAGGGAAATTTGTTCTGAAATTCTTTTCCAAGAAGAAGTCAGATCCTGGCAATTATACCTACGTCTTCAACTACCTCATCAGTTGCCTGAACAACGAAGTGAAGTGGCCGGCTTTCCCTCAGACCTATAGCAACTGGGCGAACGACTACGAAATACTGGAGCCACTCTCCGGGCTGCTGCCAGCCAACCGCAACGTGCAGTTTAAACTCAAAATGCACGGGATATCAAAGGTGCTAGTTCAGGCCCAGGACACTCACACGCTGACCCTGAGCAGAGACGGCTTCTGGGAGGGAACCTGCAACACTGCCGGATGCACAGAGTTGTTTGTTATGGTGCAGGAGAACGCCAACCACAACTTCTACTCCCACGTCCTCAAGTACACGGTTGAGACCCCGTAGCAGCCCTTCCTTCACTCCAGCTCTCCTGCAGGAACCAACACGCCTGAAAACAATACAGCTGTAAGAGATCATTAGCTCTCTCAATCAAGTTCATTCATTTGACAAATGCAGAGCAACATCTGTGCGCTTTTGCGAGATCAAGGGCTCAAAGGGGTACAAGGAGGCAGAAAATCCTTTTATGAAGGGAGCAGCAGTGGAAGAAATTAGATAAACCCCTCACCTATGTTTCAGTAACATCATGCAGACTGACGTTTTGATGGAAATGACTGGCTATCACAACGCAGCTCACGACACATTAACAGTGATGGCTAGTTTCCAAATTATGGACCATAGGAGAAGTCTTATCATGGCTACTGAAGAGAAGAATCCACCTAATTTTGGGGCAGGATGAAGGAAGTACCCTCTGTTTTTCAGCAGCAATATAGGACATGAGGAATTTCAGGATATTTAAAGCAGGCTTCTATATAACTTTAGTTGCAAAATACATCCCAGGAGAAAGAACTGTTAGGAAGGAGACACAAAGTGAAGTTTTCTTGTGCACTTCATTGTCTTACAAATTTAAGTGATACTGCGAAATGACTTCTTACACTGAATCTTAAATTCAACAAAATAATTTTTACCTTTTTATATTAGAGCATTTGAATTGTAAGCACTTTTTCTGTAATGTTAGCACTGTAATCGTATCTCAAGCATAGTGGTGTTTCTGTAATTAAAACTACAGTAAAAGGAGAATAAAGTTTTCAGAAATCACTCATTCGTCTTACTTGTATATGCAAAACTGGAACTAAAGAACTTAAGGGGCTAAATGGAACAGCAGGCCAAGTGACATAATTATCATATAAAAAAAAAAAACATCCAGTGCTATGCTCTTGGAAAAATCATACACATGCAAGGTGGTCTTCTAGTGGATCTCACCACAAGTACACACCACGAGATCCATAAAACTCAAATGTCTGTGTTAGTGCGGCCTGGCAGATATTATGTTTGAGCTTGAATTTGAAATAAATGTGCTTTGTTGTTGCATTCTATTTCATTGACCAAATGATACAAATTCCTCCTCACAAAGGCACTGCATTTTCTGCACGAGATCCACAGGTTGTTCCTGTGTGGGATTTGCTTTGCTGGAGGCAAGCAGCCTTGAGCCCCAGCTTGAAGCAGGTGCAGTAAGTGTGCAGGGCACTGGGAGCCACACTCGTGTAGCAGAACCTCGGGGAGGACACAGGCTGTCAGAGACGTGAGCTCCCAGAATAAACACGAAGCGTAAGCTAACCAAGCTTTCTGTAGGATGCCAGGAGCAAAGCAATGCTTTGGGTTCTTTTGTACTTTGAGACAAGGAGGCTACACACAACAGGAAAGTAAGTTTTAAGTCCTCCCCAAACAGCTAAGTGTCTTTGCCCTCAAAAACTGGCAGCAGCTCGCTGCAGGGCCACTAATGAGCCTCGGAGCCCAGCAGGTATCCACTCCCTGGGCAACAACACAGACTGAACAGCACGGATGCAAGCAAAACTCTGGGATGTTTTGATTGCCTAGGACCTTGAAGGCTAAATCAAGCGTTCTCTCTAAATTCAGACTGCCCTATAGCTCATCCTGGTGCATAGCAGAGATCTTTTTTCCTTAGATCACGCTCTTCAGTTCAAGGAAGACACATTTCAGTAGCTTTCTTTCTGCATGCCAAGCTGATCCAGGCAAATCCTTCACTTCTTAGAACGGGAGGATAAGGAGGCATCCCGGAGTGCTTAGGAACTAAAGGAAACCCCTTTCTCCACATAAAAGGGTCATGGGCACCAAACTAGATACACTGTTCATGCAACCAAACGCTTGATGTTCACTTACACGCACACCAACAGACAGAGCTACACAAACTGCCAGCTCCCCTGCACCCGAAACAGCCTCAATCCCCGCTGAGCATTTGGTGCTCGCTCACCCCGGCTCTCAGAGGACACCAGCATTTTGGGACCCCGTGGCGGGCACCAGCATCGGCTCACACCAGGGCTGGCACAGCCTCGGGTGAGTACTCCCTCCTCCCCATAGAAAATGCTGAAAACTCAGATACCTGTGGTTGCAAATGCACACGTAGGCACAAGCATCGAACCCCTCACAGCAAGAAGTGGCCCAAAGCTCTGCGGCACCCGCAGAGGAACATCTGCAGCACGCTAACGGCGGGCAGAGCCCGCAGCAGCTTCCCATGTTTGAGATGTGACCCTGCTGCAGACGGGAATATTGCAAGCAAATTTCCACATTTCTAGCAGAAAGCAAACATCTGGCTCAGCCCTGCAAGTGTGTAAGGAATTCTTTGGTGCTATTGAAAGCATGAGTTCAAAGACAAAAAAAAAAAAAAAGCCTCTCCAGCCTTGTTAATTATAATGCTGTCAGGGCCAGGCGATTATTCCAAGGGATGTCTGACTCTGCAAAGGCAGAGAAATAACGCCTGCGAAACCCTGCAGCCCCAGATAAAAGCACCTCATAAGTCTGTACTTGCTGCGACATCTCCCTCCAGGATAAACGAGTCTTTTCCTCCTCCCCCTCATAAAAAAAATGCGCATTCTTCAGTATAGCCGAGACTTAACACTGGCTGAACACCTCTAGAAGCCCCTTCCCCGTTACCTCTGCACTATCAGCTCTCCCCTTTCAGCCCGAGTTCTCCCTGGCAGGCATTAGGACCAGACAGCTTCTGCAATCCCTGCACCACCAAGAGGAGCAGGTACGTGGCATGATGAATTCAGACAACGCCACGCTGCCTGCTCAGCCTCCTCCTGCTGCCCAGGCACAGCGGATCCAGAAAAAGAAGGCACAAGAGAGGGAAGGATGTTGGGAATGTTTCATTACATTTTATTATTATTTGGTTTTTATATTCTCTGGTTCTCCAAACTGGCTCTCCAGACATTCTCTAGCACAGTCCTACTGGCCCGTGTAACCAGACAGGACTTAAAAGTACTCAGATTGCTTCCATCAAGGTGCAAGCCAGTTACGAGGCAGATATGGTCTCTGGCACATTTCTGTTTGCCAAGAATCACAAAAGCCTCAAATCCTCTTCCTGGAAAAACAAAAATAAGGATTGCTAAGCTAGCTGAGAAAAAGAGCTTTCAGGCACGTCTTCTCCCCACAAACTCTGTCCCACCATTTCCACCTCAGAGCCAAAGACATCCTGTCCCCTCTGCACAGGGCTCACCACAAACCACGCTGCAATCCTTTATTTTAAGCCACATACCTGCTCAGTCCACACAGCCTAACTTCTGATCAGACTTCTCCATGCAGACTGTTGTCTCGGGCAGTAAGTTTTATGTTTCCAGTCATTGCTGAATGAATGTAACTGCTCCTTCCATCACACCTCAAAGAAGGCTGTGTAGCACGTGCACCAGCTTTGGCAAAACCAGCAGCTACCTGCATCTGTGCCAGCTTTCCTCATTACTTCACTAGCAGCTCCTTCTCCCCTGCTACAAAATCAATGTTTCTTTGGGGAACAATGCCCAGGAATTCTTTAAGGCAGTAAAAAAAAAAAATAAAAAAATAGGATACCAGGAAACACAGAGGCCTTCACCTAGAATACTGTTTTCTTTCTAGATCTTACAAGCAAGATCACCTAAAGTCAATCTACATGGAAACATACATTATTTTTTCCAAAAAAAAGTGCACCATTTAAAAAGCACACATTTTCATGGACCTTCACCCAAGTACTCTTCCTGACCTTTAAGAAAAGGGAGAAAGCTGCAATGGAGCTAAAGTGGTACACTAGCATGGAGACTTGAGGGGGAGGAGGCAGGCAGGGAATTTACTTTCTTTTTTTCCACAACCAACACCATGAATGAAGCTGCTCATTACCTGTATTAGAAATTGATAAATACCACAGGATTATACCTAATTGAACAGATGGATCATCTTTAGTTTCACTGCTCACTTCTGCCAACATGAAGATGAATTGGTGAGTCTCTCCAGTGGAAGGGGGAGAAACACTGAGTCAAAATGTCTCCTAACTTCTGAAAGCATTTAGTGCATGATGCAACACTCGGTAATTTATCAAGTCTTCAAAAAACATAAAATAATTTGTAAGGCACATTCAAAAGGTATCATTTAAAAAATGGTAATGCTGTCACAGCTGGAGGACGTGAGGAATCTGTAAGAGTTCTGGCATACCGGGTGCTCCATGGCTCTACAGGCTCAGTGGCTCTATGGGGGAGGGGGATACAGCATTTGTTCTGGTTTGCTGTTCAGTTTTGGTCAAAACACCTCATGACCAACAAGTCCTTACCTGAGATCGGGATAGTTAAGGTGGATGTTCCAAGAATGCCTACCTGTGGGCAGCTCTGAAGAGGAACTGAGGCCAAAGCTGACTATTTGCAAAATACACGACCACGGTTTGTCCACGGTTGTGGGCAGCTGAACGCCTCATTACAGAGACCACACAAAGAGAATTCAAAATGGACTTGAAGGTTTTATCCTTGTTCAAAGAACTCTAGAAGAAAGCCAAAATAAAAGAACTCGTTGATTCAAAAAATCCTCCACCTCTTCAATTCTTGTTTTTTGGCATAACAAAGAGTTGCAGTCTGCACGCAGGCATCATCCTTGCTGAATACATCTACCTCATCAGATGGCTGCTTTATGCATGCATAGGTTGCTTTTGTATTCCTAGTTGTTGACAGCATTAAGCTGTTTTAGGACAAGGTGAAGCTGATGGAAAGGAACGGGAAACTTACAGACAGGGACAAGGAGTGCCTCCGTGCCTAGGTTTGTCTGGACAAAGGTTGTAAAGGCTCAACCATAGGAAGAGTTGCAGAATGCCCCTAGAAGAAATGCAAGTCCACAGAAAACAAATTCTGTTAACTCATTAACAATTTTTCTTGCAAAAGGACTGAAGAAACACATCTTGAATGTATTCTAATGACACAGCTCAATCCGACTGGGCAGTGTCCAAGACACTGCCTAGATACAAGTAGGCTGATAACCAGCTCACACAGCAGCTGCAATTACATCTGCTGTACTGATGAATTTCTCCTGTTTGCGGGTTCCCCTCCCACCCGATTTCATTTTCCACTTCCAACTACTATTCTTTATCTTATAAGAGCTGTGACCACAATCAGAATTCAGCTATTCACTCCTCAGTTGTTTTGTAGTTCTCCAAGCAACGTGCAAGCAAGATAAAGAAGCCAGATACTATACAAACAGTAAAGTGCACAAGTTGCAAGATGAACCAGGAAATATTAAGAAATTCCGCTATGGGAAAAGTAACTGGAGAAAATACAGGTGGACTCAAGGAAAAGGAATTATACTTCTTGAAGAACACTGGTAGAGGGAAAGAATGGAAAAATTGTTTATCATAGTTCCTGACGAGATAGCAACATAAGCCACAGAATTCACTCTGTAAATTTCCACAGAGAAGAAAAGGGATGTTTTTCCACTTTACTTTATTTCAATGCTTTACATGTATAAAATACACTTTAAATACTTTACATTAAAAATAGAAAATGCTTCTAAAAACACCATTATCTGACTGAGTGCACAAACACGTATCTCTGATGCAGTCTTGTGACCCACAGCCTGCTGACTAAAGGTTTGTGGGGGAGTACTGCCCTCCATCAGATCAAACGTTTAGAGAGGAGTTTCCTTTCCTCGGTATCCTGGCTGCTGATCCAGCTCAGAGCAGGAGGCCTCTCACTCAAGCCCCAGTGGCAACTGCTTTTAGGTACCTCCTTCAGGGGCAGTTTGAAACCATGCAAGTAAAGTAGCATTCAAAGCAGTGCATTTGAAGAAACACT